AAAGAAAGAAAGAAAGAAAGAAAGAAAGAAAGAAAGAAAGAAAGAAAGAAAGAAAGAAAGAAAGAAAGAAAGAAAGAAAGAAAAAGAAAGAAAGAAAGAGAAAGTTACCACATTGACTGGAATGGACATTATGCTATTGATCATAAAATAACGTGATATAGGAAAACTACTTAACAGAAATGAAATAATAATAATAATTAGTAATTTGCATTGTGACATAGCTTGCTCTGTGACAGCCATCGTTCCACATGCATTGACTCATTTGATTCTCATCACGACCCTGTGAGATAGGTATGATTACTCTCATGCTTCCTTTGCAGATGAAGAAGCTGAAGCACAGAAAGCCGAAGTGAGTTGCCCAAAGTCTCACTGTTGGTAAGTGGTGGAATCAGGGTGTGAACCTAGTTCTATCTGACCTGCGAACACATGCAATTAACTACCACACCATACTGCCCCCAACAGTTTACTCCACTGGCAATAGTTGCCCCACAAACCCTGATACTAGCCTGCAGGCTGCCTGTGGGAAGTGGCATTTGAGGGTTGTTCACGGCTCTATGCCCAGTGCCTACAACACCGTTGGGCATGTAATTGGCATCCAAGTAATTATTGAATGAGTGAAGAAATGACTGAATGGACGAATGTGAAGAACGTTGCAGGACTGCTGGGGGGACTCTGATTGTGGTTTAAGGGCTGATCCTTGGGGTTGCTATGAGCCGGCTGTTCCAAGGACAAACCCATTCACGATGCGCTAATAAATCATCAACTTCAGGCCATCTGACCATCTGTAGGAAATCATAATAGTACCTTCTGGGGAAGGCTCATAGCGTGCAAAGTACCTTCATTTACGTCCCCTTTTGTAATCCTCATAACACCTGGTAAGGATTTGTTTCCACTGGGGCTCAAGGTGACAGCCACAATCCAGCCTCCTGTCCTTCCTCCAACCCAGCACCATGGGCATTCACCTGGGCCTTCTTGTCCTCTGGGGTCAGATGTCCCCTGACCAATCCCATTCCACTGCCCCATCCCTGCAGCTATCCTAATCTTCATGTCCCAGGGCTCTGTTGTTGGTAACAACCTACTCCAGAGCATTAATAGCTTAACTAACAATGTATTCCCATCTCCCACCATTCTGTAGGTTGACGAGGCTCAGCTGACTGGTTCTTGCTTCAAGCCTCTTGTGTAGTTGCAACCTGATACCACGTCAGCTGGGGCCGCAGTCACCTGAAGACTCCACGGGGCTGGATTTCCTATAAGGCCATTTCGCGTGGCCCGCAGTGATGATGGCTCAGCATGGGTCAATGATCTACTGAGCCCTCCCTGTGATGTGGCTTCTCACAGCATGGTGGCTGGGTTTCCAGGGGAGCATTCCAGGAGTGAGGGTTTCAAAAGGCAGGAAGCAGAAGAGCAGGACTGTGCTCAGAACTGTGACAACGTTATTTCCACAGTCTCCTGTTGATGAAAGTGGCCAGGGGGCCCGCCCAGATTCCAGGGTGTGGAGAAATAAACGGCCACTCCTGACGGGGAGTGGGAAGGTCGCATTGCTGAAAAGCATGTGGGATGGGAACTGTGGTTGCAGTCATTTTTGGAAAATATGATCTGCCACACTCAGCTTTGTCATAACCTGCAATGAAGCTATCCAGCTGCAGATAAATTTCCATTTCCACACTGTTATTCTGCCTTTAATTGGGCACAGAGTAATAGTCAATTTATGTTTTCAACTGTTGCCAAGGTTACATTTGGGGCCTTAACTGTTATTAGTTCATACCCTTTTATTCCTTCTAATTCAAACATATTTAGCCCCAATAAGAAGATTGCTCATGGGATCCAGGGCATGGCTGAAGCCACTACTGTTTGATTGATAGTCACCATCGTCCTGTGCACCCCTGGCTGTCCCCAGACTCTTAACGCGGACCAGGCAGGAAAATGTAAATAGATGAGTTCGAATCCATCACAATAACAAAAATTCTTTTCATTAAGTTTACAGTTAACCTCTCTTTCGAACCTTATATTCCCAATATTTCTCACCAGCATTCATGTTCCCATCGAACTAGACGTCTTACCTCATGCTGCCTGGCCTGGTTCGCTCTGCTTTCTCCACTCCTACCTGCTCCCATCCCAGCTCAGATTCCACCCCTCCTTCCCCATTATTGAAATATGACTGCTTTCAGGGTTTATTCAAATACCAGTCCCTCCGGATTGACTTTTCTGATTTCCCTGCCATGTGGGTGTCACTCCATTCTTCTTGGCACCCCATCGCACTTGCCTCCCGCTTCTTAGGCCTCTTACCTGGTCTGCATCGAGTCACGGTCCCGTTTGGGCTTGTCTAATTCCCTCCCCTTGCCTTTCGCATCCATTCCCTACAGAGCTCAGAGCATCACCTCTCACATCACGGGCGTCCCGTTGACAGTGTCAA